GAGCAAGGAGTAATGGCCAGGGCCTCTTGGGGTTCTCAGATGTGGCTTCTCCAGTGGCTGCATGGCGTGGTGGCCGGTGAGCAGCAGCAGCTGTGGGCATCAGAGGAGGGCTGGCCCAGTCCGGTTGTACCATGAACATCTGGGCTGAATGCCGATTCCGCTACCCCTGTAGGGCCCTGGGTGCTCTGGGTGGTGGGTGCTGGGAAGGAGGGACTGTTTGACCTCAGAGATACCAGGGGTCATATGGCCCTCCAGAGGGACTCTGGCCGATGGACAAGGCTGGGCCTGGGGATGGAGGCAGCTCCCCGGGCAGAGAGGTGTGGGGCCCATTCACACATTCGTGCTGATGGCTGTGGCCTCTGAAGAGGAAGGGAGAACATCTGCTTGTACCTGGAACGTTAATGCTCTCACTGTTTGCTGTAACAACGGCACAGTATCATACGTGTATTCCCTGAGAAGCTCTTGCAAGGCCAGAAAGTCATGAAAACATCTGTAAGTGAATGAGAAAAGGCAGGAACTGACAATTTGCAAGAGGAAATAGAGTTAATGCGTGGCCAGAAAATAAGTTGACTAGTAACGATCAGCACTGAGAGTGCGCTGAGCCCTTACCTCCCCCGCCCCCTTTGGGAAGGAGCAGAGCCCTGAACCCCCGAAGAAGCAGCCCTGGGGGTGCGGCCTCCTGCCTGGCCCGTGGCCCTTCTCTGAGGACCTGCCCCAGGGAACTAAACTGACATGCGGACAGATGGCCATCTCTAGCCGGGGGTGTCCAGAGAGCAGGACTTGGGAGTCTCCTGGGGAAGCTATTCAGCAATACTTGGACCCCAGCTGGTGCCAAGAGCCCTGGCTGAAGGGGGAGAGATTCTGTACGGGGTCGGTAGGGGTGTTGGGGGGAATATTGTGTGTGACACGCAGGCTGATGCAGCCTGGGGCACAGTGGGGGCTCCCCTCTTCCCCCAAACCCTTTGAGGAGTAAGTAGTACCTTTATTTATTTTTTAATCCTCACTGGAGGACATGCTTATTAGTTTTAAAGAGAGGAGAAGGGAGAGAGAGAGAAACATCGATGTGAGAGAGAAACATCAATTGTCTTCCCATACACAGTGGAATCAGGGATCAAACTTGTAACTCTTTGGTTTACTGGACGATACTCTAGCCAACTAACAGCCATACCGGCCAGAGTAGTACCTTTATTTTTACCTAAGATAACAGGAAAACGGGCCCAGGCTGGACATTTTCCATGTGGTAGAGCTGCCCTGCTTGTGAGGCCAGCCACTGCTTCCACCCTGGCACCCATTCTCCCCCCTCTGGGCCTCCGGGGCCCTAAACATCCTGCCTTCAAAACGGACTGTAGAGGCAACCTGATTCCTGCATTTGTTATTCATAAGTTTGATATTTAGTAACAAATTTACTACTTTTAAATGTATCTATATAGATACTATGTGTATATATATACTATATATATATACTATATAGATACATAAATGTATCTATACTATACAGATACATTTATATACATAAATGTATCTATACTATACAGATATATTGATATACATAAATGTATCTATACTATATAGTAAATGTATCTATATAGTATAGACACATTTAGTATCTATACTATATAGTGTAGATCTATACTATATGGATACAAGTATAGGATATAGTATAGATCCTGGTATGCATGGTTTTGCCTTCTGCTACTTCAGTTACCCGCAGTCAACTGAAGCCCAAAAAGATTAAGAGAAAATTCCAGAAATAAACAGCGCACACATTTTAAATGGCATGCTGTTCCGAGTAGAGGGATGAAATCCTGCATGATTCCACTCCATCCTGCCCGGGACGTGAATCGTCCCTCTGTCCAGGGTCTCCACAATGTCTCTGCCTCTCACCCATTAGTCACTGAGCAGCCATCTCTGTTACCAGATCAACTGCCCAGATATTAACAGTGCTTGTGTGTTCAAGCAGCCCTTATTTTACTTAATAATGGCCCCAAAGCAGAAGAGTAGTGATGCTGACAGTTCGATGTGCCAACCAGAAGCCATAAAGTGCTTCCTTTAAGTGAAAGGGCATGCATGTATAACAGTGACTTCCAGCTGGTGTGCCGCAGGAATTTTTAAAGCATGCAGTACCCGAACGAGCCAGGGGCACTGACCTCCTTTCCCTTAGGTTGTCAAATGAAAAAATGACAGCAGTCACTGTGACAATAGCCGTCCGGTGTGAGTGAATCAAAACTATACCCATTTTTTTAGTCAGATTGGCAAAAGATATATTTTTTTGGTGTGCCACAGAATTTTTAGTAATCAGTTTAGGTTTGCCATGAGATGAAAAGGGTTGGAAACCGCAGATGTATAAGGGAAAAAAAGTATAAGTTTCAATACAATGCACGTTTTCAAGCATCCACGGGGGGTGTTGGAATGTATCACGTCCGTGAACGGGGGGGGGGGGGGGGGGGGGATACTGTATTTTCTTAGGGACCTCGGATGTGGTTTGCTGGCATCCACAAGGTGTGTAGTTACCATGGTTACCGCAAAGTATGTGAGGAAATGCTCTTGGCCTCCTGTGACCGGCCAGGCGGGAGTGCAGGAGAGAGTTCGGGTACGGCGTGGTCAGCACTGTTTGGGGTACCCGCTTGCCCCAGCCCTCAGCAATCCGCAGGAAGCGGTGGGCATGGTGAGCTGTGGGGTGCTGTGTCCCCCCAGAACTGGGGGCCTGGGGAAGAACCAGCGTGCTGAGCTGTGAGCCCTCTGCCTGCAGGGATCCTTGGCCCCCCCAGCCAGCCCCCTCCGGGGCCCAGCTCCTTCCTGTTTCAGTCCCTTCCCAAAGGCACGAGGGTTCCTGTGTGCCCACTGGTTCCAAAAAACCAATCTCTCTTATGTGGGACTCAGGCCTGGACCCCCTCCCCCACCCCCAGGCCATCTTGTCCAGGGCAGGACACTGGCCGTGGTGGCGTGTCCCACTCTGCATTCTCACGGGTCTCCAGTCATACCGCTCTCGTGCCGTCAGAACGCAGGGACCTCGGAGCCGCTCGCTGCCCGTGTCTGGCCTCATTGGTGATAGGTGCCAGCCTGCCTGGCACCCGATTCCTGTGGCCGAGCAGAGTGAAGAGGCTGGAGCCGGCTCCCCACGAACTTGAGAAGCACGGCTTAGCCGAGTCTCTGTTTTGACTTCCCGCTTCAAGAGAGCAGCTGGAGGCGAGGTTTCCCTTTCACACGGCTCGGCCCTCCAGATGTTCAGATTGGCACCACCCGCTCCCCGGCCTCCTGTGTGTCTGAGCCACTGCACGCTGTGGGAACCGTGCCTCAGGAATCATTAATTTTTGTCGTTAGGGGATCATCCTGAGCCTCTGGGGCACCAGCCGCCCACTGCCCTCTCAGGGTCGGGCGGGAAGAGGGGCCTTTGCCTCTTCTTCCTGCTCAGTGAGGCCACAGCGACTAGATGAGGGGAAAAGGGGGCCCCGTGCTGACAGCTCGGCTGTGGCGACACCCAGGCTGTAGCCTGTGGAGCCTGGCAGGGAGGCAGGCTGCGCCAGCACCCAGGGACCACTGTCCCCTGCCCCTCCCGGCCTCTCTGCACCCAAGAGCAGGGTTAACCACGCTGACTGCAGCGAGGGTGGGTGTGGTGTGCTCGGCCCCTGGGCCCAGGTCTGCTCTCCACTTTGGGGGTCTCAAAGCTGGGGCTGCCTGCCGGGCAGGTCATGACACACGGGAAGTGGGGGAGCTGATGTCTGCAGGGTAGAGCTGCCACAGAACCGCCTTGCAGCCCCCTAGAGGGGCTGTGGGGTCTGTCCCGAGACCCTGAGCAGCGTGTGAGTTTGTGCATTCTCACTGCTTGCTCAGGGCTGGCTCCCCTCCCTGTGGCACCTGGGACACAAGGCCACAGCCGATCCACTCAGCCTGATGGTAGCATGGAAGCGTAAAATCACCATGAGGTGCTGTCCTCGCCCCAGGACAACCCGTCAGGAGGAGCATGGGAGCCCTAGGGTCATAGGGAGTGGAAGGGCGGTCACTACGGCCCAGGAAGAGCCATATGGGGACTCACGAGGCCGTCAGCTCACCTGAGGCCCACAGGTGGGCTCCATGGAGACCTAAGTGGAAAATGCATGTGCAGGACAGGAGCTGTGGCTTCTGTGAGGGGCCTGGGTATGGATAGTCTTCCCCGGGGGGGCGTGATGTCTGTAACAGCTGCATGGCCCTGTCCCATCATGCCTGTGGCTGCTCTGCCATGTCCAAGGCACTCCGGCCCGGAGTGGGCTACACCAGGGTCATGGCCCCTTCATGGCGGAGGGGTTTAGTGATCACAGGCTCGATGCACATCGCCTTTGGGTCATCACTGCTTCTAGACCTTTCTGTGGTAAGAACCAGGAACTTTATATATATATATAAAAAAATTAATGAATTTCAAATTTAACATTACGAGGTTTTAACTGTTCTCTGTGACACACAAGATCTGTTTGCAGCTTTATTGTTAGGACATAACCCTCTGAGGATATTCAGTTAAAATGTTGGTTCCTTCAGTTCTTGAACGAGTCATCTTTCTATTGCTCTGTTACCAGCTGCATACACACCCAGGCCCCTTCGTTTCAGGTTATTTGTAGGTCATAGGGATTTCCCCCGTTTTTAATTTAAGTTTATTTTTTAATGTGTAATCACATAGATGGCTAAGAAAACAAAATTGTATCACAGGATGTGCTTAGAGAAGTCCTATTCCTGTCTCTGTCCCTTCCCCCAGCTTCCTCCTTTTCCGAAGCCCACTGTTTCTGCTGCTCCTGCCCCATCCTTTCATGGATTCTTTGTGCAAATAAATGTAAGGAGAGAGCGAGCGAGCGAGAGAGAGAGAGAATGTGTGTGTTGCCCGTGGAGGCCAGGAGTCCCCCAACGATGTTTGTGTTTGATGTTTTACCAGTTCTAAAGTAGGCAGTCGGAGAAGTGTTTCAAATAAACCAAGGATCGTGGTCAGAACGGCTAAAGAAAACGGCAGTAAGTAAACTGCTCTTCCTTTCCTGCAGGGCGAGTTGCAGAAACCAGAAACCTGGATCTGGAGAAGGCTGGAGTGAACACCAACCCTAAGAGTAAGAAGATCCTGGTGGATGCCCGGGAAGCCACCTCCGTCCCCCACATCTATGCCATTGGAGACACAGCGGAGGTATGGCTGGTGCCCGATGCCTGACCCCCTCCCCCAACCCTGGCCACCGACCCTGGCCAGGCCGTGGAGAAACACGTGGCTGACAGAGGCGCTGGGCCAACTCCCAGGTGCCACTAGACTTGAGTTCTGGGAGGAGTCGGGCATCAGCCTCTCTCTCTCAAATGCTCTTCCTTGCCATGAAGGGCAGGTGGGGACCCTTACAAATGGCTTAGAGCACCGTTAGCAGATTCCTATTGCAAACCTCTGCGTCAGCTCTGAGGCAGGGACACCTGTTCACCGCCATGGCCGCCTCACCCTCCCCGCAGGCGGGCAGAGGTGCACTGGAAATGCCGCCACGTTGGCCCCAGGGCACTGGGTCTGATCTCTGGGTGGGTCAGCACTCTCCCTGGGCTGGCAGATGGGCAGGGGCTGAGGGCACTGGAGCCTGACAGCGTGTGGACCCAACCCAACCCAGGCCTGCCGGTTCCCTCCCCTGGAAAGGAGGGCGCACACTACCTGTGAGTCCCTGGTGGAAGCCCTGTCCCCCTCCCAGGCTCCTACAAGACCTTCCGCTGGTCAGTTGTGGGGCCCCTGCTCCCCCGAAGCCTCAGGAGCAGTCAGCCTGCCCCACATGTGTGCAGCACACACTGAGAAGGTGGCTCAGGAGAGTCCCTGGTCAAAGGGGACCGAGAGGGGCCCCAGGCATTGGAGACACAGCGGAGGTATGGCTGGTGCCCGATAACCCCAGCAGCCTCCCGGCCTGGAGACCTGCTGGCATCACTGACACGTGTCCCGGGGCTGCCATCCCAAATCACGCGAACGGGGTGGCTGAGGACGATGGAAGTTTACTTTCCCTGATTCTGGAGCCTGGAGGTCTGAAGGCTCCCCCTTCGAAGCCTCTCGGGAAGGACCTTTCCCGCCCCTTCGAGCATCTGATGGCCCGGATGGTCCGGCTCGGAGCAGCAGCTCTGCAGTCTCTGCCTTATGTGACCGTCTCCTCCAGGGGACTGCGCTCTTGTTCTTCTCCTGGCGGGACCCTCTCATTGGATTTAGGGCCCCCCCTACTCCAATATGGCCTCATCTCCATCCTTACCTTAGTCACATCTGCAGAGACCTTTATTTCCAAATAAGGCCACGCTCTGAGGTTCCAGGCAGAGGTGAATTGGGGCTGGGGAGCAGGGAGCTGTTAAACCCACAACGATGTGCTAATTTACATTCATTCATTCATTCATTCATTCACTCATCCATCATGTGCTTGACTGAGTGCCCACTGTTCTGGTACCAATAACTGTTCTGGTACCAATAACTGTTCTGGGTATTGGGGCCACCGGGGGAACAGATAAAATCCCAGGCCTCAAAGAGGTAACATTCTGATAGTGGCCGCAGGTGACGAACACGAGGAAACTATTCCAGATTCAGAAGATGCTTAGTTCCTGGGGGTCAGGAGAGATCTAAGGAATTTTCAGATTCAGAAGATGCTTAGTTATGGGGTGGGGGGGAAGGGTGAAGGAAGTCTGGGCTGGAGAAGAGCTAGAAAAGGCACAGGGGAGCTGAATGAGGATGCTGGTGCCCAGGTACACCAGGGAACCCACTTTGGGAAATGCCTAGGGATGGGGGAGCCAGTATCTTAAGGTGAGTGGGTCTCTGGGTGGGGCATCTTCACTGATGCTGTCACTGATGCTACGGGACCATCCTTCCCGCAGTCTCTGCTGTGGTCATGGTGTCTGGGGGCCTTGGGAAGAGCCGGGACACATGGAGACAGCCAGGGCGGGTACCTGCAAGGCTGGGCCTTCCTGTTGTTGGTGAAGGGCCAGTGTTCCCATCGGCATGGATGGGGCTTCGGGGCGTGTGGCCAGAGCTCTGGTCAGTTCTCCTCCGGGTCAGCTTTGACCATCTAGTGGTCCTGTTGTGTGAATGGAAGGGAGTGACTGTACGTGTTCTCAAGTGTCCCGTGGACCCAGCCTGCGTAGCCAGTGGCCGCTGCTCAGAGTGATCTCTGATGGCCTGGGAGTGGCATTGGCTGCTGGTGTCCGTCCCGTGAGCCGTGCCCTCAGGCAGCGCCGTGGTCTCGGGGGAGAGCCCAGTTGGAGTCCCATCAGCTACAGGGCTTGTGCTAACACAGCAGAAACAGTTCATATTTTAGACCAGTGGTCGCCAACCTCTCGGACCTCACGGACCACCGGTTAGCGACCGCTGCTTTAGACCACGTGGCCAGGAGCATACGGCACACACAAAGCATCATGTATTCAGATAATTAAATTCGCTTCCTTGGGAAGGTCATTCTGAGCAGGCACAAGGGTTAACACCGCAATGATCCGGGTTGGTGTGTGTTTTGTGCATGTGTGTGTGTGCGTGCGCGCGCGCGCGCAGGGGGTGGGGGAGAGCCATTGTTGAGGGCGATATTGTGCGCGTGCGCCTGGAGGTTTCCTGAACTAGCCAGGCTCAGTGGAATGCACAGCCTGCTCTCCTGAGTTATCTCTGCGGATCTCCATTCATTTCTGGAATGTCAAACAACATCTGCATTTCCTGCTGCTGCAGGGGTGATTGGCAGCCTGTCCCGGGCCTACCCGTGCAGGAACGCTGAGGGCTGTGTCCCCCGCTCTCGCCCCCACCCCCACCCCCCCTGCCTGCAGGACAAACACTGGGACAGAGGGGGGACCCCAGGAGAGCGGCATTTTCACGTTGGGTTTGTATGGGCTGTGCTGAGCGGTGTCAGGAGCGCACAGGATGCTTCCAGGGCCCGGGTCAGCCAGAGCCCCAGTCCATTGAAGGGCTGAGTGGCAGCAGGATCTCTGGAGCTTTGTTGTGGGCTCAGCTCTGCCAGGTCGCTGCCATGAAGAAGGGGTGCAGGTAGAGGCCTCGAAGGAGCCTGGCGGGCTGGTTAAAAGCTCACCACTCTGCTGGGGAAGGTGTGATCACCCAGAGCTGGATGGAGGGAGTGAGGAGAGAACCCCAGGCTGGCGGAGGGCCTGCTGTCCCAGGGAGGCCCAGCAGCAAACGGCGCTGGGGAGTTTCTGACAGGGAGACACCTCACCAGGGAGGTGGAGGGCGATGGAGGGACTGCACGGACTCCCTAACGAGACATGCTGAGCTGACTCCACTTCTCACCGACTCCACACTTCTCCCTCCTCGCAGGGGCGGCCTGAGCTGACACCCACAGCCATCATGGCAGGGAGGCTGCTGGCCCAGAGGCTCTGCGGCCAGTCCAAAGACCTGATGGACTACGACAATGTGAGTGCTCACGGCTCTTCCCGGGCTAGCTTCAGCCTGAAGTGTGAGGGTATGTGTGCACGTTTATGTAGGGGTGCACATATGTACACATCTGTGTGTGTGCGTGTGGGTATGGTGCGAGTACATGTCTGTGTGCACGCATATAGCTGTGCATATTGTGCATGTCTTTGCATATGTGCATGCGTATTATGGGTGTATATATACACATCTATATGTGCATGTGTGGGGGGGTGCATCAGTGTGGGGGTGCGTGTGTGTGTGTGTGTGTATGTGTGTGTGTGTGTGTGTGTGTGAAGTTTAGATCAGAAATAAGTGAGTGAGTCTGCCCACCGCTTATGGCCTGCCAGCCAGCGTGTCTGGTGACTTGGCCCGGTGAGAATCTTCGATCTTGTGCCCCCAGCGGTGTGCCTGACTCAGAACCTTCTCCCAGGTCCCCACGACGGTGTTCACCCCGCTGGAATATGGCTGCGTGGGGCTGTCCGAGGAGGCGGCGGTGGCACGCCACGGAGCAGATCACGTGGAGGTCAGTCAGGGCCCCGAGCAGAAGGGGCTGCCACAACGGGACACCTGTGTGGCCCCCGTGCCCTCTGGCACCCCCTCCCTGAGAGGCCCAGCAGGCAAGCAGGAGAGCTGGCTTTCCTGCATCTCAGGACTGCACCTCTGAGGGCAGGAGCAGGGCGGGGCCTGGGGCCCAGAACCGGGGCTGTGAGGCTGTGATGTGGCCGGAGGGACATGTGCAAGGGAGTGTTAGAGGGTGGCCTCGGGAGCCTTTGGGGTGTGGCCACCTCACCAAGGCACATGTCTCCCTAGACCTGGGAAGGCTTCTCCTGCACTCTGACCTCTAACCCTTTGTTCCCTGTTCTCCTGCCCCAGCCTGGCCCTGCCCCCAGGTACCTCGACTTCCTGCAACTCCCCAACTCCCCTGTGATTCTTGCAGTCTGTGACCCCTCACCTGCCCCCTGGCCCCTGCCAGCTTCTGCCTCTGCTCCTCTTACGAGACCCGCCTAGTCCCCGCAGGCCCCTGACAGCCCAGAGGCAGGGCTTTCGTCAGACAAGGCTGCTTCTGGGGTCTGCTCCGACGGGCCAGCTGTGCCCGGGGGTGGCACAGCGCGTGCCCAGGCAGCCTGGCAGGACGCGGGGACACTTTGGGTGCTGGAAGCCTTCCGTGTGGCCTCCTCTTGCTGCCGCAGCCTGCAGGCGGACCGATTAGGAACCAGACCCCATGCGGCCACCACAGCAGAGCCCGGGGCCCTGTGGGAATAAGGCACTGGACTCCGGGGCCTGCCCCTTGCCCCAGCGCCCCAGTCCCCTCCATCAACAGTCCGGGCTTGACAGGCCGGCCTTCCCCTCAGCACTTTATTTGCTATTTTTGTTTGATTCATCGCGGGTACACTGGGACATATGTTCGTGGCATTTTATAATGTTGTTTTATGTTTCACAATGTTGAATGGCCAAATACCCTTTGTTTGTTTTTTTTACAATCCGGTCTTAGTTAGAACAATATTCTCTGAAGCTCCATTAATTAATAATGGCTGTGCAACACATGTGAGGGCCCTGCTCATTTTTTACTCGGCCGCAGCCCCGAACGCGCTGTCGGTCGGTCCCTTCTCGGGTGCTGAAAGCCTTTGTCCAACAGCTCCGGTGTGGGCCGGGGGGCCCTGCGCCTGCCCCCTCCTCCCTGCTCAGCAAGGGCCCCCCGAGCCCCAGGGTGCCTGAGGGAGGCCAGACGGCCACCCGCTCACCCGCTCCCGTCTCCCGCCGCCTCCGTCACCCGGTCACTCTGCAGCGTCCCCTCAGACCGCCCTCCTGGGGGGTACCCGTGCCCTGTGCTGAGCTCTGGGCCCAGGGACCAGTCACAGCGGGTGGCACTAGCCTGGCGCCTGCTCTGCTGCCATGGTTCACGGGGACCTCGGCCTGAGGGGGAGAGGCCTGCCCCACAGTGCGGCTCTGGCCATAGACGGCCTGTGTGACGGGGAGGGTCCTGGCCCCGGACCACAGCCCACAGCCGCGTGGGAGAGCCCAGGCCCCTGCTGCGTCCGCACAGCCTGTCCGAGCTGGACCGTGTGCAGGGGGCTCGAGGGGCTGCAGCCTCTGACTCCAGGAATCGGTGTCTTGTCGCCCAGGTGTATCACGCCTACTATAAGCCACTGGAGTTCACAGTGGCCGAACGGGACGCGTCCCAGTGCTACATAAAGGTGAGTGTCCTCAGGGGCCAGGCCGGGGCATGCCAGAGGGTGAGAGAGAGGGAAAGAGGGGGTCCCGGGGGTGGGGGAGCCCCCCACGGCCACACATACATGGGGGGGAGGTCCACAGGCAGCCCCGGGCTCCCGCCTCCGGCAGACGGCAGCTGACTCTGTGGCTTTCAGATGGTGTGCCTGCGGAAGCCCCCGAAGCCGGTGCTGGGCCTGCACTTCCTGGGCCCCAACGCGGGCGAAGTTACCCAGGGATTTGCGCTGGGGATCAAGTGAGTCCGGGAGAACGCGGCCGCGGCCCGGTGCGCAGACGGGGTCCCTCTGCGTGTTGGCAGCGCTACAGGGAGTTTCCCGCCGTGTCGTCTGTGTGCTCAGCAGGACGGCTCCCCCGAAGGGGCAGGCTCAGCCAGGCCAGAGGCAGCTTTCTGCTCCCGCCAAACCCTGCTAAGCCGGCCATGCTGAGTGTGTATGGCCAGGCCACTTGGGGAGCAAGAGGAGTGCGTCCTGTCTTTGGCGGCCCTCGGGGGAAGGGGGGTCACTCTCTCACTCAGAGTGAGCAGATTTAGGGCCCTTGTTCATGGGCCCCAGCACCCAAGCTGAGGCAAGTCTCAGCTTCAGGTGCGCTGTGAGTGCCAGCCCCTCCCCGCCCCCCCTGCCTCCAGCCCTGCCCCCCCCCCCCCGGTCCCTTACCCCCCCCAGCAGGCAATTGTCTGCGGGAGCCCCAGCCGTTGTCTGGATCTCGGGCTCAGGCCATGCACTGTGGGCCCCCGCCTGGAGCCTTTTTGCTGACGGAGGTTCTGGGTAGGAGTGGGTTGTGTAGGGCAGTGAGGAGGCTGGGCAGCTGGGTGTGGGCCTGCCAGAGGTTGGGGGGTGGGAGGAGGAGGAGGGGCTGGACTCATAAAGGAAGACATGCCTCCTGGATCCCCATTGATTCTTGGGGTGTGTGGAGGTTCAAGGAGCAGGACTGATACCCAGAAAACCTGGCGATGGAGGGCCACAAAGGCGAGGGTCTAGTCCAGACGTCCCAGAGACACCTCCGATGGGGCACCCGTCACAGGGCAGCCAGCCTCAGGCCTCCCATTGCCCTCCGAGCCCTTCCCACACGCATCCAGGCGATCACTGGGTGTGGGGTCAGGTTCTCCCCGGAGGGGAGGGGAGCTGGGCCTCGGAGGAGAGGAGGGTGGCAGGGCTGGGTCCAGGAACATGTGTCCATGGTCCTTAATCACGGGATTCATCTCACATGGAATGACCATTGGAAGGAGGCCCAGGAGCCTGGTACAAAGCTCTGCTGAGCCTTGCCAGAGCCCACCCTGGGCACAAGGAGAACAGCTGAGGGTGCCCCCTGGAGCCCAGCCCCTGACCTGTGTGAGTGCCGGCAGGCCGGCTCCCCCAGGCTCCAGCCCAGATCTCCGTGGCACGCGGATGCTTTTGTCAGGACTGTCACCAGGCTGGAACAATTTCTGGAGACTCTGAAATGGGCAGCCTTTTTAATAATGCAACTGGAAAGGGCTGGTTTCTTTCATATGCAAAGGACTCTTAGAAGTCAACAGTAATAATAGGACGAATCCAGTAGACAGAGAAGACGAACAGGCAAGTCAGAGGAAAAGAGCCTAAAAATAAGTAGAGAGCCGATGTGTCTCAATCAGGATCTTAAAATGTAATTAAAACCCCAGGAAACCCTTTCGGCCAGGGAGGGCGTCCAGCAGATCCTTTCCTAGCGTGGCCCAGGATGCTCCGTGCATGGGGAGGGGCCGTGGGTGGCACGCAGGCGGCACTTGTGAGCAGAAGAGCCGGCTGGACAGGAGGCTGGGCGGGTACAGGCTGCGGTAGTAACACGTGGGCTCAGGCAGACCCAGGACGTGGGCAACCCGGCAGGACCAGGTGGAGCCACAGCCCCAGCAGAGCTGAGTCTGGTGGGCGGGGAGCCGCAGGGGGCCAGGCTGGAGCAAGGGAGGGGAGGTCAGGCGGGAGGTGGGGCCGCCGGGCCAATGCAGGCATTTTCTCGGAGGGAGATGGGATGGGTCCAGCTGTTGCTGGCAGGGGTCTCTGGCTGCTGGCTGCAGGAGAGAGGGTGGGGGCCAGGGTTGGGAGGGGGTGAGGAGACCAAGACCTCTGAGGTGCCCTCCTGGGTGCCACACTCCCCGGGGGCAGGGTCACACAGGGCACAGGCCTCCCTGCACTGCCTCACGGCCCCGCCCCCCCACGTGCAGGTGCGGGGCCTCCTACGCGCAGGTGATGCGGACGGTGGGCATCCACCCTACGTGTGCCGAGGAGGTGACCAAACTGCGCATCACCAAGCGCTCCGGCATGGACCCCACCGTGACGGGCTGCTGAGGTTAAGCCGCCATCCCTGCCGAGCCCAGGGCACACGGCACGCCCGCTGCCCCCACCGCCAGGCCCTTTGGGGCTTTGGATCCAGGTACGTGTGGGCCGGGCTCCCAGTAAGGATAGAGCCGTGACAGAAGGGGAGGGTGCCACTGTGAACTGCCCTCCAGGTGCCTGGCAGGCTGTACCCCCTGTGCCACCTCACAGGGAGCCCTGGGCCCGGGCCATAGGAACCAAAGACACAAGGATGGGAAAGGAGGCCGCTGAGGGCCCCACTCTCCCCAGGATGCCCCAGGCCCCGGCCTGGCTGCCGCTGCTCCCACAGGCAGGAAGCGTCTTGTGGGCTCACCCATCTCAGTGGCCTGTGCCAGCTGGGACACTGGATGTGGAAAGCGCCCCCCAGGCCGAGCTCAGTGGCCACTGGGCGCCGGCGCTGGGCGGGAGGAGCGGGCCTCCCTCTCCTTCCCGCTCATTTCCCTCTCGCCCAGAAGGTGGAGATGCTGCCTTGCGCACAGCTGCCTCTGCCAGAGCTGCGCAGAGCCGGGCTGGGCCAGCAGCTGCCGGAAACCTCTAGCTCATTGTTGCCTCCACCCCTCTTCTGAGGAGGAAGGCATTAGCGAGACCCTCCCTGACCCCGGCCACACGGCTGGCTGCCTGTGGTCCGAGCCTTCCATCTCCCAGGCCCAACATCCTCCGGCCTCAGCCCGAGGGGCCGTGCGGTGGCTCAGGGCCTCTCCGGAGGCATCCTGGGGGCACCTGCTCCACCAGGGTGCCCCCGTCAGGGCCGCCTTCGATGTAGACAAACACAGGAAGCTCTTATCTGAATGTCACACCTAAAAGATGATAAACATTTTATCATCGCAAAGTAGTTTTCACAATACCGTGCTCCCTGTGACCCATCCCGGGGGTCCGTCTGCCCTGAGAGGGTCCCTGCACGTGGGCACGAGAGTCGTGGCCACGGGTGTGCGGGGATGGGGTGGCCACCTCATGCTGACCCCCCCGCCTTTGGCAGGACACCGAAGGCCCAGCCCAGGCGACCCTCAGCCCAGCCTGGAGAGCCCCGGAGGTACCCAGTGTGGGCGGCGTGTCTGGATGGACTGCCCGTGTGCCCTGCAGGGATGGCCCCGTGGGACGTCAGCCCCACACCTGCCCCGTTGCCCCTCGTGCCCGGGTCGGCCCTGCCAGGCCCCCGATGCCAGTTGATGACGACCTGCGCAGAAACCCACCCCGTGGGCTGCCCACGTCTGAGCCCCCCCTGGCATTTCTGGAGAGCAAATAAAGAGGGTGTTTTCCTGAAGTGTGCCCTGCCTGTGGTGCCCCCGATGTGCCCCCACCAGCCTTTCACACACACACACACACACACACACACACACACACACACACACACCCATCACCTCCCTTCGTCATTTGGGAACTGCTTCCAGATGGTTCTGGAACGGGAGCTGGGTAGCATCCCTGCGTCCCCAGCATCAGTGCCTCGGAAGACCCCGGCCCGTCTTCCCCGCACCGATCTCGGGGAACCCCTCCCAGGACCCTCGGAGCTCCCGGTAGGCGAGCATCCTGCCAGCAGCGTGGCCCGGTGACAGGAGCGGGCAGGGGTTAGAGGCTCTCATTCGTTTCCACGGTGGCCTCCCAGGCCAGCCTGCGTGCTGCGCTCCGGCTAATCCCGCACACTGAGGCTCGATGGTGCCTGTCAGTCACCGCCGAGAGAGAGAGAGAGAGAGGCTGACAGCGCCGGGCAGGGCCTGGCATTGTGCTGGGGCTTTAGTGGCGGTTAATCTCGTGTCTTTCTTAAGAAAACATCACTTAGTCTGCCGGCCCGGGAGCCCTGGATGGGACCCTGCTTGTCAGCAAACAAAGGAATGCCTTTGCACCTTAGTGGCCTGCGGGAGCCTCGCTCTGTGGGAAGCGTGCGCAGGAGCTCTCAGACGCCCCATTAAGATGCCAAGTGCTGGGCTGGGCCGGGCCCTCTGGACAAGTGCAGCGCGAGATCAGCCGTGTCCCATTTAACGCCCGGCTGGCGGCGTGCCCCAGGCTGGATCCTGCGCGGGCCGCCTCCCCACGGGGAGGAGGGGTGCCCTGTCGTGGAGGCAAAGGCGAGGTCTGCAGAGGTCAGCTAACGCGGGCTGCCAGGGGCCCTCCAGGCAGGGGCTTCAGGTGCCCCGAGCCCGATGGGTCTCTCTGCCTTGGGGCAATGAGGAGCCTGAAATGGTCTTGTTGGCTTTTGGTGACGATGGAAATGATGCCGCCTGAGTGGCACCCTCGTGCACACTGGGCACCTCTCTGGGGCGAGGGTCAGGATCACCCACCACTGGCTGCCAGGGTGCTCCTACGTGCCTGCCCCCAGGCACCCCCTCCCCCCCAGTGGTTTCCTCTGCACGCCCCTTTCCGCAGTACCAACCTTGCACCTGCTGTGTCTGCAATGCCCACCCTGGGCTGCCTGGCCTGTGCCATCTTCTGGGAGAGAGCAATGCACCCTTGGGGCTGGGCACCGCCAGCCTCGCCGTCCAGTCCTGCGGGGCTCGGGACAGCTCGTGGGGAGCTGTCTGTGTGGCTCCCTAAGCTCCACAGGCCCGCTGGCTCCCCTTATGGGGTTCACGTGTGTTTTTTTTTTGTAAACTGTGGGCAGGGGCCTGGCCCAGAGGAAAGCCTGCCACAGAGGGCCTGGCCTTGGCGACCGCCATTGCCGGAGCCACCTTTGAGCCTCTGCCCTGTGCCCACTGCTCTCAGTATGCAATTCCTGCCACGGCGCCCAGTAACCTGGACTCCCACATGCACACACTGCTCTGGGGGGACCTGGGGGCCAGATTCTGGGGTCCCAGCTGGGCAGGGTGTTCTGACAGCTGCTTCCCTGAGTGAGGGCTCACCCTGCACGTGGGCCTCAATAGGAGCACGGAGCAGTGTCATCTGTCCAGCATGCGGCTTGGCTCCAGGCTCACAGAACGGCCTGAGGCCCCTCTCTAGGCCCACCCCTGTCCCGACCCCTCCTCCCAGGGACGCGGGAGGGGCCAGAGCGCCACAGGCCAGGTGCTCTCCACCTGGCCCGAGGGCCGCCTTCCCGCCGCCTTTGCAAGTTTTTATGGTGCAATGAAAATATGATTTTAATTCCTCAGATTGTTTGGTGTAACCTACAATTACCCTGGGTGATTCCTGCACACTTCTGCCTGCGGCTCAGATTGCACAACCCCATGGGAGGGAAAGGGGCTGCGCTCAGGGGCCAAGCCATCCCCTCCCGGCCTCACCCTTAGCTCGGAAGCTGGGCAAGGTACCTCCAGCGGCAACCCCCCCTCCCCCACTCCTCTTCCTTCTCCAGCCGCTGAGGTGCTGTCCCCTGGGGAGGCAGGTATGCAGAAGAGGGTGACGAGCAGTTTTTGAGGGCTGGATGGAAACAGAAATAAGCAAGGCAAGGGAGGGGTGGGCCTTGTGGAGGAAAGGACTGACTGCAGGGTGCAGAAGGGGCCATCAACCCAGGGGAGGTGGCCAAGATGCTTGTCTGCAGTCCCCTCCGAGTGGTGCCCCAGGGAGGGGACAGGGTGAACGGGGGTTGGGCCTGTCTTACAGATGCTGCTTCCTGTTCCACATGCACTTGGCTATGGGATGGCCAGGGCCCAACCCTCAGACCTGGAACTAACGTCTGTGGGAGGACAGTCCAGGGCGCTCCCTAAGCAGGCCTGACCTGCTGCCTTCTCTGCCCTGTGCCCACTCCTCCTCCACCTGCCACCCCAGCTCCCAGGAGTCTCTGGGATTTCTTGTATCGCCACGGTGGACCCCAGGAGCCCTGTACATGCTGGTCCTTGGCCAAGCGCCTGTGCCTGCAAGGCCAGCAAAGAGGTCACTGAGTGAGCCCCATGGGGCCCAGCAAAGCATCTTAGAGCTGAGCTCACCTAATCCCAGCCCCAACACGCTATGGTGCTCGGGTTTCCCTAATCCCGAAACCCAAACCAGGGCCTGCAGCCTTCCCAGGGCCATCTGAGGGGGCAGCCAGAGGACCCCCTCCCGCGTGCCTGTTCTGTTTAGAGCTGACCCCCACCAGGACAGGACAGGGAGCTGGGCACCCACAGGGTGAAGATCCAACCCGGTGAGCCCCGCTGAGCTCAGGAAACAGCCGAGCCCTCGGCTCCCGGCTGGTCCAGGCAAGAAATTCAAAGCCGACGGTGACAGCAGAAATGACGGGCGAGGCAGGCCCACCTCGAGCCCGCCGAAGTCCTGGCCTCTAGGGTTTCACGGGACAGTGATCTGGCCATGAAATTAAGCTTTTTCCCCCCTAATAAAACCAGGATCTTTTTGGCTTACCGCTGATGATCAAATAACACCAAATGCTTGGGAATAAAAGGGAACCATACACAAGAGACCGTGTGACCTTGTTATGTACCAGCTGGGGGTCAGGAGCCAGCTGGGCCCAGCTCTCTGCTCCGACCACTGGCCACTGACCCAGTCAAGGCTCCCAGGGGACTGGGCACGAGGCACGTGGATGCGAGCACCCCAGCATGGGGTACCCCCACAGGCTTCCTTTGTACAGTTCCATTAGAGGTACGCAGGTGTGTTGTGTGGGAACAGTTAATGGTACCTCGTGGTCTAAGCATCTTTGAAGAATTTTCATACCCACAATTTCCCCAGAGCAGATGCAGTTAGCTCCTGAACTACCAGGGTCGAGATGGGAGACAAAATGTAAGATCAAAGCAACATATGAATATGGTGGTGGTGTTTTGTGTGTGTGTGTGTGTGTGTGTGTGTTTTGGGGGGGCTGCTCCCACTTGATGATTGAGAAAACCGATGCCCAGACCCCCCAGAAGTCCCCATTTTGCACAGCGTGCAGCCACACTGCCTTCTTAGTGCCAGGCCTCTGCTTGTGGGACAGGGCAATGGGAGACAAGACCTCCAATGACTCCTTGTTCAGCCTGTGGTGGCTGGAACTGGGCAGGTGATTATAATAATAAATCCCTAAGCATGAGCAGAGGTTGGGTTTCCATGGCTGGGTGTGTGTTTGATTTTCAAAGTCTTGGGGAGAA